AATATTCTAAGATAATAATTAATAAATAATAAATAATAAAATAATAAACTAATAATTAATTCGTTCTATAACAATAGCAATGCTTTCATCAAGTTGTCTTCATATTTTTTCCTGAAGTTTTGCTTGAGATACTGCATGTCGCTTAAGTGTACTAAGATGTTTTTTTTCTTTTTCAATAATCGCACAACTATCTTTTAATTTTCCATATATTTGATGTCTTAAATCTTTGTCACTAGTGTTTATTAACAAATACTCATATTCATTTATTTTGGTTTTAGCTTCTTTAATTAAGCTTAAAGCTTGATGCTAGGCCAATGTATTAGGTGCAAGATTTTGTTCTTCATTAGATAAATAAGAAGACAAAGAATTAGCATGACAACCTTAAGAATTTGTAGAATTTGAAGATTCAGAAGATCTTGGATTAGATAAACCAGGTTGTAAAAAAAAATCTGCAGTTTGTATAATAAATAGGCTTGCTACAAAATATTGATTAATTTGGTTTCTAATGATTGTTTCAGATTCTGTTCGGCACTTCCGCCACTTTTCATTTGCTGCATCTATTAAAATTTTCTGATTCATATTTGGATTGCAAGTCTTAACCATTGAAAAAAATGCAAAGACATTACAGAATTCATTATACAAGTTTATAGAAGTATTATACAAGTAAGTTTTAGAAAATTTTGGTATTGAAAGAAAACTTTGTGTCATTTTTAATAACAAAATTTCTCATTATCATGAGTTAGTTTGATACTTTTTATTTAAATACTTTGCTTTTAGATTGCCCAACTCGATGACTATGAATATATTAATATACATTTCAAAAAAAAAAAAAAAAAAAAAAATTTAATTCAGCACATATCAATAACAAGATAACTTAAAGATCTATTGCTGGATAAGTATAGCAATAATTTTTTTTTAATTGAATATTAGTAATTTGGCGTAACTGATAAACTAATAGCTGCAATCGCTTTTACAGGTATTGGTGAGCATTCCCTTCTTTCTTCTATTTATAGATATTGATACATTTATTTTCAACCGTGATTAAAGGTTGTTATAAAAAAAAGAAATGCAGGGATTGAAAAATAAAAGATATATATGCCGTAAAATTCTTGAAATAATGGGTATGGGCGTTATTTCGAACATCATGGCAGCAATATAATACCTGTAAGTTATAATTATATATTTGATAAATTTGTACTTGATGGAATTTAATTAATGGCAAATTATTTCTCTTAATAGGTAGAACTTATGAATGCATAATGAAAATTAAGTTTTTTGGGGTTATTCAGATTATTTTTACAGGCTCTTTGCCTTTATTTGCTCTTGTAAAGATATTATCAATCAGTATAGCGCATTTATATAATCTGAATGACTAAAGTATAAAGCATATCATTTACTAGTTTTGATATTATTGTAAATCATATAATAACATCTATTCTATCTTTTAATAGAAAGATTGGTTAGACATTATCTATAGAATTTTACAAGAAATATCAAAAAAAAAAAGTAAATGATAAATTTTAGTTAAATTACAAATGCGCTGTATTGGATATTGAGCATAAATTTAAATTTTACTGTAGCCAATTTAATCCTAGAAAATAATTGATTTTATGCATATGACTCATGTTCTGGTTTGACGTATTAAATAAAAGTGCAAGGCAAAATTCTGAGTTCACAGATTTGTAAGTTTTCATATAAAATTATTAACTAGAATTTTTTTTAATTAAAATTTTATTTTGCATGTGATTATATTTGCGAGATACATTTCTAATATCATAAAAAGACTTTCATCTTTCGTATGATTGGCAGTTTAAATCAATTAGATTTTACTTTATTTATAGTTTAAAGTACTTTTTAAAAAAAATAAAACTACGAATAATAAACAAAAAAGAAGTATATAGAAAGGTTTATTAGGGTTGTTGGACTTTATTATTTAATATAATCCAAATTCTTTTTTGTTTTAGAGAAGTTAGCATAATAGCAGCTTCTTAAAGAATTAGATTATTACTATGCTAACTTCTCTAAAACAATCATATGAAAGTTTTTCTATGATCTCTAATACTGGTCGTTTGACAATATGTGTTATGTTATTTGATTATATGCTATTAAAAATTACAATGCATATCAAATCGAGATTAAATTTATCTAAATAATCGTATAATTTAAAATTTTCGCAAAATAACAAGCATGGGTGTTAATGCACCTTCTAAAATAGTAAGCGATATTTTTACTTGAAAAAACAGGTTTATTAAAAATTTAATTCTTGTCTCGATGTAATGCCTACATATATACTCTAATTAATATGCATATATTCAATGTGTGGGTAGACATTGTTTCGCAAAAATAAAATTTGATAGTCTTTCAAATACTATCGCTATAGTATATATCGGTTAATAGTATTATCACAAAGAGGGGAGGGGGTATGACCCTATAATAAAAATAAATTATGTAATAAACTGCATTTCCCTAACTAATATTGTACAAGGTAATAATTTACTAATAATATATTTACAACAAATAAAAATGCTAACTCTAACTCTATATAATGCTAATAAATGGCTTGCTAGTGAAATAACTATCAGAAAAATAGGCAACAATGATAAATAGCTTAGTAATAAAAATAATAATGACAATATTGTAATTATTAGACACATTCTATATAATCACTAAATAATTTCTATATAATTTATTCAGTCATATAATATAATATACAAAATTTCACTCACTTCTTAAGAGGATTTGCATATTGTATTATAAATAAATTATTTATATATATATATATATATATATTTGGTATTAAGGTGAGGTCTTGCTTGTATCTTTATTGAATAATTTATATAAGTAATTATATAAAAACTATATAAAAACCAAATTTGTATAATAACAAGTATTTATAAATTACATGCAAGAATAAGAGCTCAGACTAAAAGCTAAAGCTAATTATCTGTTACCTAAACCTACTAGAGTGGTCAAGACTTATCTAGGTTTTAATAGTAAGTATATAATTTGTAAGAATACTGAATTGTATCCATGCTGTTGACTATTGACTAAATTTATGTTGTGCCTGCTCTTCAGAAGGATAGTTATTGTTCTCATGCTGTTGGTCTAGTAGGCTATACAAATAGCTATAAATGAATCTTTGAGGTCTTTTTCATTGGCTTTGTACTTGTTTATATAAGGTCTGTTTAGCTTGATTGGAGATTTGTATATTGTGTTGCTTTTTTCATTTTGCGAGCCTTTCACAATATGGCTTCTAGATTTGCTTATAGGTCTCTGTAGAAATATGTAGAAGTATCCAGATTGTAATATTTGCTGCCTCTTTGTGCTGCATATCTACCGCTTGTAGTGCTTGTATCAAGTAGGATAAAATAAGTCCTTTATGGTAGTGGATAGTGTATGTGTTTGGGAATCAGAAGAAAGAATATTGTTGAAGAAAGTATGAAATTCAATAAGGTTTATTATTGCTCTCTGTTGTGTTAGAGTTTGATTACTAAAGTGTTTAGTGATCATTTTCAAGATTGAAAGGTGAATGATTTGGCTAATTGTTTGTGGGTTATGGCAGGTGAGCCAATGCTTGGGCATTGCATGCGAAGCAAGAAATATTTTAGACATAATATTGTGGAAGTGGTAGTAGGTTAGCAGTTTATTAAGCAAGTTTTTGATTCTGAATACTTTTATCTGGTTTAATTTAGAAGATATAATATTTGATGTAGCTTTTGAATTGTCATTAAGATAGAGCCAAGTTGAGCTCCAGTCAATTGTTTGGATATAACTCTCCCATTCAGTATTGAGTTTTTGTAAAAACCACATTGCTATTGTGTAAGCTCTGCTAATGTTTTTAATTAGTTGTCTAGTGGGTTTTTCTATTGATTATCCTTTCCACTGAATAATAAAGTTAGAGTTGTGTATGTTGGTATAGTTAAATTGAAGGATGTAGGTTAATAGTTTTTGATACTTCTTAGCTAGAAAGTCAGCTAAGTTGTTGAACAAGTTGTTTGTATATGTCTAGACTTTGTAAAAGGAGAGCTAGATATTGAAGGCCTTGGTAGCATTAAGAAGTATATGCTATATAGGCCAGTAGTTGAATTTAAAGTACTTAGAAGATTTGGTAAAGGTGCATAGGAGTTTATCATATTTGGATATGATTGATTGAGAATCAGTATATATATTAACTCTGGCATTACAAGGTACTATAGAGATAGCAAATAAAATTGCAATAAGCTCAGCTTTGTATAAAGAGAGCCAGTTAAGAATTTTTGCTGAAAATTGGTTGATAATTTGGTCGTTATCTAGTTGTACCCAACCTATTCCTATTGAGCAGTTACTGGTACCTATGTTTGTATATTACTGTTAGTAAGAGAGTATTGTAATAGTTTTAGGCAAGCTTTACTAGTATAGAAGAAAACTGGGGCTAGAGAGTCTGTAATATTGATCTTAGGTAATGGTAGAATAGTAATAGGATATTTGATTGCTATAGAGTATATTAGGTTAATGTAGTTTGCATTGAGTTTAACCTGCTTGCTAGTTGTTTTTCTCTCTAGAAATTGTGTAGATATAGTATTAGATATTTCAATAGTGCAGTAGTTAGTTAGCCGATTAGAGTTAAGGTTATAGCCAGGGCATGGAGTATATATATAGGTAGTAAAAGGTAAAGTAAGTGCTGTTGTACATTTATGTTATGTTGTTAATGTGTAATAGAGATAGTGTTAGTTTGTTTAAGCTTTTTTCTAACTTGACTAATAATGATCTTGTTATATTGGTATGTGAGTATCTATAGTTTTAGTCTTTTAGAAATAGTATTTGATTGATAGGTGAATGAGTTTGTACCTAATAGTCGGTATTGTGAATATATTGTATAAAGCTGTAAATTGCTAATAATTGTGTTTTTTAGAAAACAAAACTAGTATGGCTTTTTTCTCTTGGGAAGATGTCAGAGTCTGGGAGAAATGTGTTGCCATTTTAGCAAGTAGACATTATCTGCTGAGCTAAACTGTTCAAATAAAGAATATGCTTATTGCAAAGCTATTGTTTAAATACTTTGTATTTGCTACTTTTAAATAATATAGGTTCTAGTGGTGTATTGCTGTTTTGTATAGTTTGTAGCCAGACCATATTTGGGTTGATTGTTATGCTGATTTCAGCCTGTTGTAGTAATATAATTATTTTGTATATAGTAGTATCTTTGTTGGGTTTTTCAATAATAGACTAAGGGTGTTGTAGTATGCTAGTAGTTGACTAGATATTGTTTTGGAGTTGTTGAAACCTAATATGAGTAGTGGTGCCAAGTGTAAAGCTGTTGTTAATCC